TAGATCAACTCCATGGATGCCCTTTTTCTGCAATTCGTTCAGCTGTCTCCAAACTTCCACTCCTGAACACCTTTCCTGCAATACATGATAAAAATACATAAAAAACAATACAAAAAGGCCCTAGACACACACAACTCGTAAGTGAAATGTATTAGAAATACCGTAAACTCACGGTATATCACATGTGCGATTGGAGTATGACCTGCCAATGAATTCTGATCACAGGAGGATGAAAAAAGTATGGTCTAAGCTGAGGGCACTAAAGCCATAACTCAAAAAGTTGCATAGTAGAGAATTTCAAAAAATAAACCAACAAATTGATAGTGCTACGGCAAAATTTAAGGTAGTTCAAGAACACTTGAGTATGCAGTGTATTAATGGGATAATAATTGAAGAAAATGCCCTCTTATTGAATTTGGAGAAGTGGTTTTTAATAATGGAGAGCATCTTGTAGCAAAAGTCTAGGGCGAGGTGGATTAAACTTGGAGATTCCAACACAAAGAATTTCTCTGCAGTGATGAAGCTAAGAGCTCACAGAAAACAAATATCTGAAATGATGTCTTTATCAAGAACCAAGCGTACCACTCTTGAGGACACACAAACTGAAAATGTTACTTTTACAAAAGTATTATGGGTTCTGCAACTCTTAGCTACAAGCAGAAGACAAATCAATTATGAGAAGGGGACCTACACTTCCTCTAGAAAAACAAACTACTCTATGTGCTGAAGTTACCGACCAAGAGATTATAGATAGTCTCGGTTGCATTGATAAAAGTAGGGCCAGTAATCCGCAATGATGCTTGTTAGCTGTTAAAGAGTTCTTTCACACTAGAAAGTTATACAGAGCCATCAACTGCACCACTACGACATTAACTTCCCTCTTTGTTAATCTCTAATTTTATAACCATGTGTTTAATGTTTGGGATAAACATGATGGATGAAGATTAAGCGAATCCTCAACAAAAATTAAGAAAGATAATCAGTAATGTTTGGCATTACTTACATATGTTCTCTTAGACTTCAGATCCACAAACTCATTGTTTCCTTTGGTATGTGTCTTCTTCAAAAGTCCATGCGGATAAGGTGGTCGTCCAAGAACATTCGCCTAAAATTGAAATCACATCTATTAAAGTTATTACAAAAGGAATAACTTTAAATAACTATAACTTGACAAAATGAAAATAATTGTACCAGTTGTCTTGCATGCTTTCGGTGAGTCCGGGAGCCTCCAGTATGGCGAGAGGGACCAGATCCTTCACCACATTTCTCACTTCGTCGATTTTTGGAATATTGTGCAGATTTAGCCTTAAAACCCTCAGTATCATAGTGAGGCTTCCAGCTCTCCCAAATAGATTTTGGGATATTTTTTCGTTTCTCCTCAGAGGATCTTGCTTCACATAACATACCCCTGTATTGTATTGAACATTTTTTCATAAAATGATCCTTTATGGAACCTTCAGTTGTAATATTCCAATGGAATCGGTTCTGTTCTGTTTAAGAATATAGAGAAAAATATCACATAAAT